AGGGGGTGAGAAAGAGAAATTGGGAGGAGGAGAAGGAAATTGGAGCGGGAGGAGAGATTGACATTCATCACATACACACAATGCACCCCTTGCACACAGAAAAACACACAGACACACATACACAAGCAATGCAACCGTTACACACAATGCATCCCTTACACACACAGAAACACACAATGCATTCATTACACACACTCAATGCACCCCTTACACACATTCAATACATCCCATACATACACAGAAACACACCTTGCAGTCCTTACACATACAAACACAATTTCACACAATGCATTCCTTACACATATCAGGACATCCCCTACACACTCCACCCCCTGTGAACAAACTCATTGGTGGAACATGAAGGTGGACCCTGGGACCAGACCTTGAGCTGTGTAAAGGACCCCCAAAAAATGGAGCTGCTTCCCGTTCTCCCAGAACATTGATTTTTGTGACCACAGTTACAAACCGCCTCCAGAGAGCCTGTTCTGCACCAGACCAGTGGAGCCAGACTGCAGCTAGAGCCCATCATCATCCTCATCTGGTTAAGTAGGCAATCTAGTATATTATTCGTGGCACTAAGCTCTAATTTACCTCACATTAAAGAAACACTATAGTCCCCAGAACCACTTCAGCTTAAAGTAGTGGTTCTGGTGTCTATAGCCTGTCCCTGCAGGCCTTTTAATGTAAACACGGCGGCACTGCAGCACTGGCGTTAGTTAACATGTCAAATCATATGGCTGGGGCATTGTGATGTCACATGGGGGACGGCAAACTTTACTTTTGCCTTGGGCGGCAAAAATCCTTGTACCGGCCCTGGCTGGAGGGGGCTGTGTGAGCTGTGGCCGCACAGTGTCCCATGGTAGTTAGGGTGCCGTGCGGCCAGTACAGCTCATTCAAGCAAACAGCTGATAAACTGGCCGCACGGAGGAAATGTGTATGTGTGACTGTCTGCCTGTGACTGTGTGTGACTGTCTGCCTGTAACTGAGTGTGTGACTGTCTGTCTGTAACTGAGTGTGTGACTGTGTCTGTAACTGAGTGTGTGACTGTGTCTGTAACTGAGTGTGTGACTGTGTCTGTAACTGAGTGTGTGACTGTCTGCCTGTAAATGTGTGTGTGGGCTGCAGGGATTTTGTAGAAGGGGGTGGGGGTTTTGTATTGGGACAGGAGTCTTTATAAGGGGGGATAAGCAGGGGATTTGTGGAAGGGGGTTGCGGGGGTTTGTAGATGGGGCAGTACAGGATTTGTAGAAGGGGCAGGACAGAGGTTTTGTAGGAGGGGCAGGGCAGGACAAGGGTTTTGTAGGAGGGGCTGACAGCGGTTTTGCAAAGTTTACAAATTGTAAAAATACAATATATAATATAATTAATACAAAAATAAATTTTTTACAGGTTTTTTTTTTTTTTGGGAGGGGGGTGGTGCCAAGCACAGGATCCGCCCCGGGTGCCAAATGCTCTAGGTACACCCCTGGCTGGCTGACATATTAAGAAAGGGTTAACAATAGGGAGGGGGCCTGGCTGACGTATCAAGAAAGGATTTAAGATGGGGGGGGGGCCTGACTGATATATTAAGAAAGTGTTAGTGATGGGGAAGTGGTCTGGCTGACGTATTAAGAAAGGGTTAACGATGGGGATGGGCGTGGCTGACATATTAAGAAAGGGTAAACAATGGGGAGGGGGCGGGATAGCATATTAAGTATGGGGATGAGGCCTGGCTCATATATTAAGAAAGGGTTAATGATGTGGAGGGAGCATGGCTGACATATTAAAGATGGGGGAGGGGGCCTGACTGAAATATTAAGAAAGGGTTAATGATGGGGAGGGAGCCTGACTGACATATTAAGAAAGGGTTAATGATGGGGAGGGAGTCTGGCTGATGTATTAAGAAAAGGTTAACGATGGGGGAGGGGGCCTAGCTGACATATTAAGAAAGGGTTAACGATGGGGGACTGGCTGATGTATTAAGAAAAGGTTAACGATGGGGGAGGGGGCCTAGCTGACATATTAAGAAAGGGTTAACGATGGGGGACAGGGTGTGGCTGACATTAAGAAAGGGTTAACAATGGGGTACAGGGCGTGGCTGATATATTAAGAAAGGGTTAACGATGACTAACAGAAAGGGTTAATTGTGACGAGACCAATCTCACCACATTGCATTGGAGAAGCCTGGTTGCTCGTCTGTTGCCTTTGGATTATGGCCCCATGTTAAAGGCCTTCTTTTCCCCTGCAGAAAAGGCTTATTCGTGCCTTTCTGCCCGGCGGTCGGTAGATTTAATCTACCGAACTAACGCACAAATGACTGGACCCCCTGGGAGCTGGAGTGTGTCGGCAATTAACCTCCCAGAAGTTGCGGTTAACCGCAGCTTAATTGACGAATGCTGGGTGGTCGCCATTCTTGATGAGTGGTCGCCAAGCAATGTTCGACGCCCAACTCATGGAACTGAAAATGGATCTTGTTCGGTAGTCGTGCACGAACGGCCCTATATTCGGTAGTTGTACCCGAATACACCATACCCCAGATAGGAATCCCGTGGAGCTCATTCGTATGAAAACTGACTTTGTGAACACTTTGGCTCCACGGCGATTGGACTATGTGCATAGGATCTGAGCACTATTCGGTACTTTGGTGCGCTCAGATCCTAGCTATCTGGGAACATGTTGAATGCCGGTAAAATGTTGTAAAATATAACAGTTATGTATTTTTATGTCTTTTGTTATTTTCATATAAAATGGTGTTTAGGCTCTGTCCTGGGAGATAATTGAATTACTTCACAATTATCTCCCTGAGCAGAGCAGAGGGTTCTGGGTAAGAAAAGGGCAATGGCTAAGTGTGTACCCTGTGATTGGTTGCTGCAATGTCCTTGTCACAGTCTTCCATCTGGTCCCCTAGGGGAGTGTCCACCAGGTGGGAGACCTGCATAAATACTGGGCATGTAGCCCTCATTAAACAGACCACTGCTTGACCCACAACATGGAGCCTTGTCTCGTCTTTGGGGGAATTTACTGAATGCTGATAGAGACTGATTGCTAGGAGTCTTAGCCGCTTGGGTGCTTTTCCTATTCGTCTGCTAGCAGCTATTCGTGAGGTTCCAGTTCGGGAGTTTGGAGCATTCCCTTGTATGCAGTTCGGGAGTTTGGAGCATTCCCTTGTATGCAGTTCGGGAGTTTGGTGTTAGCTGTGCCTGTATCTCTGGAAGGGGAAGATCGACTAAACGGTGGTTTAACCCTTTTATGCCTGGGGGTGCCGTTACATTAATAATGGGCAGGGAGCCTGGCTGACATATTAAGGGAGGGAGCCCGTCTGACAGAAAGGGTTAACAATGGGGAGGGAGTCTGGCTGACTTCTTAAGAAAGGGTTAGTAATGGGGAGGGAGCCCGGCTGACAGAAAGGGTTAAGGGAGCCCCACTGACATTTTAAGAAAGTTTCAGGACACAATCCTTAGTGAGAGAGACAGAAGGAGATATACGGAAATTTCTCTTCCTACAGCACAAATAGCACAGACTTAGTTTCCAGATGGCTCCGAGCCTTCTTACCCACTCCTGATGTGAAGGTGCCAAGAAAACCATTTATAGTCATCCCGAGTCAAGATGGATTCCTGCCGAGCTTCACTTGAACACAAATTATAATTCCTCCACTTCTACAGCTGAGCCACACGCCCCAACACGCTGCCAAAGCTCTGCCTATTCGGTCCCCTGTAATCGAATGCACCCCAAAACCTCCAGTGCGTCCAAACAAGAATTCACCGCTTTACACAAACACAACGGGAATTGTATCCCATTCATTTGCCTTATTTTGTCGACATCAACATATTCAGTAAAGCGAGAAGTCACAGTAAATTTCAAATTTAAAGGTACACTGTAGCACCCAGACCATTTCATCTCATTGAAGTGGTCTGGGTGTTGTGTCTCTTTTGCACCTAGTGCTGCAATGTAAACCGTTCCAGAGAAACTTTTTACAGTGCAGCTCTAAGTCTGCCCTCGGTGGCCATCTACCAGAATGTCTACCAGACAGCAGCTGGGGGCGCTTTGGGAATCGTAACAGACTTTTGGTCCGTTATCTGACACTGGAAGTCCTCACGTTCTTGATTTTCCCCTTTGGAAAGCATTGATTTGCTGCGCATGTGCATTAGACGTGGGACGGAGCAGGGGGCGGAGCTTTAAGCTAGCGCCGAGGGACATCGCCACTGGGATAAGATATGTAAATGTAGGATTATCTTTCTGCATTTGTATCCACTTTTTGTATCACTCAGCCTTGTTACAATGCAGCCGCCCATCCCATGTGCTCCCTATTAAGGGTTAATAATATATAGGGGTGTATATAAAAAATACCCCTTTCTGTCTCATTAGAGATTTTTGCCAGAAGCTCAAGGAAGCAGGCTGAAGGGTTAGAGTTAGGACCCACCTGGGGGAGTATGCCTTTATGTTGGCAGGTGGGCTTATCCTCTCATGGCCATTGGGGGTAATTAAAAACCTCCATTTGTTTAAAAATACATAGGGATTAAGGAGAGAGCGCAGGTAACTTGTTTTTCTTATATATTGGGGCTGATGTGTACTGTAGTCATTGCTGCCACCCAGAGCGCAGGACTTATCTTTCTGCATTTGTATCAATAAAGTGTTTTTAACCCATTATTTACTGTTGAGATGGGAAGCGAGGGAGGGGGTAGGAAGAGGGATGTGTATGTATGCAGGTATTAGGCAGTGTGTGTGTATGGATGTAGGTATTAAGCAGTATGTGTGTATGTATGCAGGTATTAGGCAGTGTGTGTGTATGGATGTAGGTATTAGGCAGTATGGGTTAAGGGAGGTACACATTAAGCAGTATGTGTGTATTAGACAGACCTAACTGAAAACCAGATTGCAAAGTTTAAGCAAAAACAGCTGAACTGTGACTGTAGCCAAATTAGAGAATTCTTCTAGATCAGCTATTTTGCCTAAATATTGCCATATGGTTTTCAGTTAGGTCTACCTAATACACACATACTGCTTAGTGTGTACCTCCCTTAACCCATACTACCCAATACCTACATCCATACACACATACTGCTTAATACCTACATCTATACACACACACACTGCTTAATACCTACATCCATACACACATACTGCTTAATACCTACATCCATACACACACACTGCTTAATACCTACATACTAACAGACATACTGCCTAATACCTACATACATACACACATACTGCTTAATACCTACATCTATACACACACACTGCTTAATACCTACATCCATACACACACACTGCTTAATACCTACATCCATACACACACTGCCTAATACCTACATACATACACACATACTGCTTAATACCTACATCCATACACACATACTGCTTAATACCTACATCCATACACACATACTGCCTAATACCTACATCCATACACACATACTGCTTAATACCTACATCTATAAACACACACTGCCTAATACCTACATCTATACACACACACTGCTTAATACCTACATACATACACACATACTACCTAATACCTACATACATACACACATACTGCCCAATACCTACATACATACACACATACTGCCCAATACCTACATCCATAAACACATACTGTCTAATACCTACATACATACACACATACTGCCCAATACCTACATCCATACACACATACTGCCTAATACCAACATCCATACACACATACTGCTTAATAGCTGCATCCATACACACATACTGCCTAATATATACATTGTACATTGAATACATAATTTATCGCCATGGTAAATGATGTATTCAATGCATTTGGTGAATTTAATTTATAAGACTAGCACAGACAAGCACACACACTGACAGACACATTCACTGACAGACACACATACACACTCACTGTCAGACACATCCTCAGTCACTGACAGACACAAACACTCACAGACACACACACACTCACTGACACACATACACTCACTCACTGACACACACACACACACACACACAGACATATACTCACTCACTGACTGACAGACACAAAAACACACATACAGCAGCTTCTCACTCCTCCAGCACGCTGTTTAGTATGCCGGGGTCGGAATGACGTCTTATTCCGGTTCCCGGCATCATAGAGGGCGCGCAAAGGAGGAGTGAGAAGCTTCAAGAACAGCACCCCTCACCGCCCACAATACAGCTGCCTTTCTCCAGTCCCCATCTCCTCTGGCATTTCTCGGCAGAGCAGGCACCTGCTTCGGGGGTGCCCTGAGCTGGCCAAATGGCCACCTCCTGGGCTCCCTGTAACAGTGCTCCTCTGGGCACCACCACTTTCGGGAGCCTGGAGGATCGGCCCGGCGCTGAGGGAGGCGGCTCAAGAGCCGCTCGCCCAGCGCTGCGGCCCAAAACCAGGAAATATCGGTGGCGCCAGCCCTGCTGCCAACAGGAAGATGATCTCTCAAGGCAGAGAGTTACCGACTGACTTTGGGATTATGGGGTTAATATTCAGTTTTCACTGTTTACAAAAAAGGAATAGATTTTTTTTTTTGTTTAAAAGTAATCCGATAACACCCTCTAGTGGTGAAATCTTGGAAGGTTTGTATTGTCTCTTCTAGGCCTATCTAGTGCTGTGCAGTTATACATTATTGTTATATATGAAAATGCTGCAAAATAATACAGTAAGTTTTAAAAGTCCTGCCCACACACACAGAGTTCCTGCAGAGGGATTTAGATAGACTGGGGAACTGGGCACTCAAATGGCAGATGGAATTTAATGTAGAGAAATGCCAAGTTATGCACTCTGGGTTAAAGAATGCACAAGCAACGTATACCCTTAATGGAAGCGAATTAGGGATAACAACACATGAGAAAACTAGGTAACAGTGTACAATGTGTCATCAAAATAACTAGCTGAATGTATGTTATTGTTTTTTTATTGTGTGTATTATATATTAATTAGCACTGCTTGTTCTCCAATGTTCTGTATATTTGTATTGTAAATGGTTTTTACCACATTTTTAAGAACAGGTCACCCAAGGCTAGTCTTTGTTCAAAATAAAGTACTGGGTGTTATTTTCATTGTGAACGTCGTATCATGCCCGGTCTGTTCAGGGATTCCAGTAGCAGAGTTTTCAGACCTGCTTGCCAACTGCACTATTCTCTGGTCCTGGGGACGATTCAGGGAAGAGCTAACCCTGAGACAGTGGTGGATGCAGCACAAGCAGAGGGATGAATACCTGCCTTGGAGACAGAAGCTCAAGCAGAAGGTTCGATACCTGCTTGGGTGAAGGACAGGCAAAGGGGTTGATACCTGCTTGGGTGAAGGAGGACAGGCAGAGGGGTCAATACCTGTCTGGGAGAAGGGGAACAGGCAGAGGGGTCAATACCTGTCTGGGAGAAGGGGAACAGGCACAGGGGTCAATACCTGTCTGGGAGAAGGGGAACAGGCACAGGGGTCAATACCTGCCTGGGAGAAGGAGGACGGACGTCAGAGGGGTCGATACCTGCCTGGGAGAAGGAGGACAGAGGGCAGAGGGGTCGATACCTGCCTGGGAGTTACTTGCCCGGGAGAAGGAGGATGGGCAAAGGGGTCAATACCTGCCTGAGAGTAAGAGAAGATGGAGTGAGGGGTCTGAACTTAATGTATGCATGTGTCTTTTTAGCTATGTAACTTCAGTACTGAGCACTTTTTGATCATAAAAATCTTAGCACAACACTTATTTGAAGCAAGGGATGTATAGATAGCAGTGAAATATATCACAAATGTAGTCTTTGTGTGCATTAGATGCAGTGTGTATAGTGGGTGTAGTGTTTGTTTGTATTAGATGCTGTGGCGAACGTAACCTCGCCACTGGCTTTTGGAGGAACCTGTTTGCCAGCCGTTTACCCTGTGACTATGGCCCCTGCAATGTAACCTGCTAAAATACTTCAAACAGGCTCTGTTTGTGCAATTGGGACTATATGGTTCATTTATTGAACAACCGTATGAACCAGAGACCACCCTGTAGCTTGTTAACACCTATTAACAACTTGGAACGCTTCTCTACTATATGGTTCATTTATTGAACAACCGTATGAACCAGAGACCACCCTGTAGCTTGTTAACACCTATTAACAACTTGGAACGCTTCTCACCGCAGTGTTCGAATTGTTTGTCTGGGTGGCCGCAATTCCTATAGACAACCACGAGGTGGCGGCCATCTTGTTCGCATGAACGCAGGCAGCGGTGTTTGGGCATGAATCTCATGGAACTGAAATCGGATACAGAAACTCCCGAACACCACTGGACTTCCATCATCGCCTGCGTTCAGTTCTATTTGGTTCGATGAGATCATTCGTCTGCATGAAGGGAACAAGCCTGCCTGGGAGAAGAAGGATGAGCAGAGGGGGTCCATACCTACCTGGGTGAAGGAGGAGAGACAGGAGTCGATACCTGCCTGGGAGAGGGAAGGATACCTATCTGGGAGAAGGAGAACAAGAGGAGGGGTCGATACCTGTCTAGGAGATGGAGGATTGGCAGAGGGGTCGATACCTACCTGGGAGAAGGAGAACAGGCAGAGGGGTTGATACCTGCCTGGGAAAAGGAGGATGGGCACAGGGGTCAATACCTGCCTGAGAAAAGGAGGATGGGCAGAGGGGTTGATACCTGCCTGGGAGAAGGAGGATGGGGCAGAGGGGTTGATACCTGCCTGGGAGAAGGAGGATGGGGCAGAGGGGTTGATACCTGCCTGGGAGAAGGAGCATGGTACATGCCTGGGAAAAGGAGGACGGGCAGAGTGGTTGATATCTGCTTGGGAGAGTAAGGGCAGAGGGGAAAACTCCTGCCTGCGAGAAGGAGGATGGGGCAGGTCGGATGATACCTGCCTGGTTAAAGCAGGACAGGCTGAGGGGGTCAAAACCTGCCTGGAAGACAAAAGGGTCGATATCTGCCTGTTCTCTAGCAGGGGTCATTAGCTGCCTGTGAGAAAGAGGACAGTCTGAGGGGTCGATACCTGCCTGGTAAAAAGACGACAGGCAGAGGGGTCGATACCTGCCTAGGAGAAGAAGAACAGGTGGACGGGTCGATGCCTACCTGGGAGATGGAGGACAGGCTGAGGGATTGATACCTGCCTGGCAGATGGAGGACAGGCTGATGGGTCGATACCTGCCTAGGAGATGGAGAAAAGGCTAAGGGCTTGATACCTGCCTGGGAAAATGAGAACGGGCTGAGGGGTCGATGCCTGCCTGGGTGAATAAAGACTGGCAGAGCGGTCAATACCTGCCTGGGTGAATGTGGATAAGCAGAGGAGTCGATACTTGCCTGGGTGAAGAAGGACAAGCAGAGGGGTCAATACCTACTTATTTGATGGAGGACAGACACAGGGGCGATACCTGCCTGGGAGAGAGAAGATGGGCAGAGGGGTCTGAACTTGATGGATGCATGTGTCTTTTTAGCTATGTAACTTCAGTACTGAGCACTTTTTGATCATAAAAATCTTAGCACAACACTTATTTGAAGCAAGGGATGTATAGCTAGAATAGAAATACATCACAAATGTAGTGTTTGTGTGCATTAGATGCAGTGTGTGTAGCGGGTTTCCGTCGAAGTGCCAAAGTTGCAAAGAAGGTAAGGTTCAGCGGTGTTCGTGCCGTCGTGTATCCGATTTCAGTTCCATGAGCTCGCCGGCAAAACACAGCTGACCGCGTTCGACTAAACAAGAACGGTGACCACCCAGCTGTTCGACAATTAGCTTGCGGTTAACCACCAGTCTAGGAGGTAAATTGGCTGCACATTCCACTTGTGTGTGTGGTCCGCCTGTTCGGTATTTTGTTCGGTAAGCCCCATTTACCAAACCATATGGGAAAAAGGACACGAACAAGGACACACACACTGACACACACACAGACAGGCATACTGACACACACACACAGACATACTGACACACACATACTGGCACACACACAGACATACTGACACACACACACAGACATACTGACATACACAAAGGCATACTGACATACACAATTTTGGGCACCTGTCCTAAAAAAGGATATAATGGCACTAGAAAAACTGCAGAGGCGAGCTACAAAATTGATAAAAGGAATGGAGCATTTTAGTTACGAAGAAAGGTAAAAAATTTAAATCTCTTTAGTTTGAAAAAACTGTGCCTCCGAGGGGATATGATAACATTATGCAAATATATTTGGGGCCAGTACAAACCATTGGAAGAAAAAAGAGGAGTTAAGGGCTGCGCTATTGTACAGAGAACAGTACCATAAAATAGAAACCAATTGGTTGAAGTGTATAATCAGCAAGTAATAAAACCTGGGTATAATAGTCTCTATTGCAATTATATAAAAATAATGAATAAAACTGAGTCCATCCAATAAAGATCAAATGTTGAATAAAATCAATAAAAACTGTCTCACTGATATATGGATAGGGTATGTGTACAATCCTCAGGAGTTGATCCGTCCGGGTTGTAGATAATCCGTATATGTGAAGATAAAAGAAAACACAAAAAACTGCCAATGGTGAAATATTGTAGCTCCAAGGGTAAAAATAAGTAAAAAGGAGGATTGTACACTCACATTTG